ACAATGAAAGAAGAGTGAATATTAGAGAAGTAAAGAAGAATGAACCAAAAGAGCAGCTAGGGAAAGAAAAAAAGAGGGTCACACCTTACAAGTATCATGGTAAACCATGAAGATGTTAATAAATCTCTTTCCTTTTAGGAAACCAGTCAACACTACCCATCTAAGGCACTATTCTATAATATCTACCTAACATGAACCATCTATTCTGGATAGTTTTGTTGTAAGGTTTCACTGTAAGACTAACTTACCTGCCCTTATCATATAGCAAGACAAAAAGCATTCTGGAGGCACCACAAATAAGACAACACTGTCTTAAGTTAGTGGTTTAAGCCTCTAGCCCTGCAGAGGACACAGAAATTACATTCTAGGAAGGGAGAAACAAATGCCAGAAACATATTCCATATTTAACACCTGTTAGAGGTTAATAACATGTACTTACTTGGAAGGAAGCTGTACTGGAGTAACCTGTGTGACCTCTTTCACAGCCAGGGATAAAGTAATCTGCTACTCACAATTTGCTATGTGGGGTGAGGAAGTTTCCACTTTAATTATAAATTTATCCACAGTAGGCACTATGTAGATTTTCATCTATGTAGTCCCAATACCTAGTAGTGCATCACATAATAAGGGCTTAATAATTATTTATTGTCAAATTATTGAATTGATATTCCCAGTTGAATGTCTATATTCATTCTGTGAAGTGAATAAGAGTGAGTGGTTAGTGCTGTACCTGTGGCATTGGTAGCTAATTTACTAATTAATTTACAATCAGAAACAAGAAGCAGGAAATCTAATGGAGATTGCCAAGAGAACAGCATTTACCTTTTTAGCTAACTGAAAGTGTCTCTTAGGCAAATTAAAGCCTTTCCCTTAAGCTATAACAGCCTTGGTAATGAATGTTCATGGCCTACGTTGAGAAAAGTTCTAGCCAGTCAGAGAGAAAAGCAACCCAGAGATGTTTTTCCACAAACCAAGCCCAACATATAAGAACAAATTTCTGGAAAGGACTTTTGACTCCAAGCTATGATTCAGGGTCAGTTGCTAAAGGAAAAGTTATGAATTAGAGATAAAGGTACTAAATTATTTCTTTATTTTTAAAAATATCCCAAAATTATCTGCCTTGGTGGTTAATGTTATTTGACTATTTCAATAAAGCTACTTCTAATATTAATTAAAAGGTTTTTGTTTTGGGGGTGTTTTTAGTTTTTCTCTCAAAGACATTCAATCCCTATGAACCTATGGATTAGGTGCTACCACCTGGTGACAACATACCTGAATTACAGCTTTATTTTTGAGAAAGTTGATTAAACCCCTTTTTTTGAAACTGGAAAACCAAAATAATCACTGTAAAGCAACCCTCTTTATATGATGAAAAGAGTTGTTTTAGTAATATTTCTGCAAAGATCCTTTCCTGTCTCCCTCTAAACCCTCAGGCTCTAACCTTGGGTTATAATAAAACACAGAATGATCATATAAATATAGCTACAACCCAAGTGATCTCTAAATACTTGTGAGTCTAAGAACTGGATGCTTCAGAAACCAGTAACTAGTTAAATTAATCAATTGATAAAGGATATTGAGAAAGACTATTAGGGGTCTCTAAATCTTCTGCATTTATATAATTCACTGGTTTATGCAAAATAACAACTTGAACTAAATTTTCAGCTCTAATTTGCAGAAGATTAGTTCAGTTTATTGAAAGGTAATTAGAAATATGACTTCGATAGGCATAGGGAAAATATAAAAGGCAAAGGAAGACTAGTAAATGTAATCCTAGGTTCAAGCCAGGAACGTTTTTATAAAACTATTCTCATTGGTAGAATTATGATTCAGTGTTGCATGCTTAAGTAAGCAGAAGAGTTAAAGTCTTTCCTCCTACCAATTTCAAGAGAGGACACATGTGGTTCTATTCTTTGGAGAGAAATCCAGAAAGAAATAGAACAGATTTTGAAAGGAAGACATTGCAGGGGGAAACCCATTCCCCAGCACGTCCAGCCTGCCTTTCTAGACATTTCAGGGAATTTCCCCTTGGGTGCTATTGAGGAGTCTCTTGATTGAGCTGGGATGCCTCACTCCCAATAAAAGAGCTCATTATCTCTTGGTATTGTCTGGTATTTTTTTTTTGTGAGACAATTGAGGTTAAGTGACTTGCCCAGGGTCACACAGCTAGTGAGTATCATGTGTGGGAGGCCAGATTTGAACTCAGGTCCTCCTGACTCCAAGGCCAGTGATCTATCCACTGCACCACATAGCTGCCCTTTATTGTCTAGTATTTCTAATCTGTAAAACTTTTCTGATATCTGTTTGCTATCTGTTTAGATAAATGGGTTTACTTACTATTCACTCTTTGTGATGGTCATTTGTGTAACTAGCATTTGGTGGGAAAAGGTCAAGCCTTTGGACATAAGGCTAGTGTATCCTTTCCCTTTAAGGCTTAGTGAACAGGAATATAGTTTGTATATAAGGAAAAAAATAATTTCCCGTAGACTAGATATATTTTAGAAAGCAGATAAAATTATTGTTTGGTAGCTCTCATCAAAGGAGAATAGAGCAGCTATAGTCCTTTCTCCCATTCTCTTCTAAGCAGGAATTAAAGTATCCTTTGGAGAGGTGAGGCCAGAGATATCTATTCATGCCTTCCCTTGAGACCCATTTAGACAAACCCAGGCGGACATAGACATAGCCTACACTGGCAAAACACACATTGCTTAAGCGTCACAAGAAAAAAAACTGTGCATTTGTTTCCTTTTTTCTTTTTGTAAGTACCACTCAGGTAGTCCATATGTTACAGGGAAACAAGACATGAAGTCCTTTTTGAAATTTTGGTTTGGGGGAACTTACATTCCTAGGTATGCACTTGATGGGGGCATGAATCTAGGGACACTAAAGCAGCCTCAAAAATAGTTTTCAAAATTCATCAGATATGAACGTTTTATATTTGATTCCCTGAGTTCACAGCAATCTTTCTGTCTTTACCAGTGCCATTTACTCTGCCCACCAAAAGCCACTCATTAAAAAAAAATCAAAGTAGACTAGAAAAAATAGCCAAATATATTCAATATCTTATTCATTCTGCTGCCCAAGTCTCATTAGAGCCACATTTCTCTTAAGTTTTTAGTCTATGTGTCCAGGCTGTTGAAATCACATAGTTGACTCTGTAAACTGAAAGTCAAAAGGAGCACAGCTTAAGTTGTCAGAGACTGTTAGGAATTCCTGCTATGCAGAAATCGGACAATTAGCTGAAGTGGAGCAAGAAGGATTTCTTGTTTGACATTAAGACAAAGCAAAACAAGGAAACTTTAAAAATAGAAACAAGAAGTTTCTTGGAAACAGGGTATTTACAAGTTTAGGTCAATCTATGAGATAGACTTTCACCTACTTATCCAGAATAATTTATGTTTGACCATTAGAAAAAAAATGCTGATTTCACTGATTTTGACAAAAGAATATAGCTTTTAACTTTGTTGTATGTTTTTTTCCCCAAAAGTGCTTGAGAGTATTATGACCAAATTTTGAAAATTCATACTTCGTTGTTCCTTTTCCTAAGCTTTCCTCTGATTTATAAATGTGTACCTTCTTTAGTATTATTGAGATCAGTGAGTTCTTTCTGAAATACAAAGAGATGAATAAATTAATTTTGTTAAAATATTTTTAAGAACCTTCCACTGTTCCCTATTGCCTACAGAATAAAGTCCAAACTCTTCAACTTCTCACACAAGGCCTTGGACAATATATCCCAGTCTTCCAAGTTGAGCTCTCAGAATTGTCCACACAAAATCTTCCTTCCATTCTTACCATTCTCATCAACTCCTATGCACTAATGATAGACTTAAATGATAGACTCCCTTCATCCAAATCTTACCCATTTTAATAGGAAACTGTTGTATTCCTGTAAGTGTAAGATAATAAGGTTGTAGATTGAGATGATAAACCCTTAAAGAAATAGTACCAATGGAGCAAAATTAAAGAAATTAGGTTTATTTTGTCCACAAGATGGCTAAAGTAAAGCTCTGTCATTCAGAATAAAAAGGAAGGAGAGAACATAAGAAGACATTTTACCAGGAATTTCTAACATATTTTGTAACTGATTAGAAGCTCACCAAATCGCAGATTTGAAACTATTAACAATCACATACTACATTGAATTGTTATTTAAACGTTTCAAGAGTAGGTAACTAGACTTTAAGTTTCTTGATGGTAAAGAATGTTTAACACTTGGCTCGTTTGTCTATAATTCTTAACATATAATAAGTGCTTGGTAAGTAGTAGGTGCTTGGTAAATACCTTTTGAATGAATGAGAGTTCTGAATTTTTCAAATTGTTTAAAAGACTAGAAAGGTGGTTGGTCTACATGTCTGCAATAGAACAAGTTAAGAAAAGATGAACTTTTCTGAGCTATTCTGTTTTGAGAAAAAATATTGAACGTACATGTGCAAAGAACATTATGTATATGTTCTACCCTAGAGTGCTATGTGGCTGCTTAATAAATGTTAAATAATAACAACATATGGCAGTGGGAGATTTGGGATTGTAGAAACTTGCTGGGTTCCTTATTTGTTTTTATTTCATTAACATTTTTGCCCCATCAAAGAACTGTGAACAATAAACTTACTTTGGCCAACATATGGGAAGAATTAGACAGTAGAACTTTTATTTCCCATTATTGTGCCCAGAATAATCACTTTGCTAACCAGAAAACTGTCTTTGTCTTCAAGCTCACCAATGACATGAAAAAAAAAGTTAGATCACAAAATGGTGTTTAGTTAAATATTTTTGTTTAGGTTTTTTTTATGTATTCCTACAGTAATTGTATCACAAGGCATTCTTCCAATCCTACTCCACCCTGAACTGTAATTAGGTTAATGCTACACTCGAGAGTGCACAAAAATCTGTTGTTTGGTATAAAAGAAGTTAGAAATCATCACATTCCAAAGCTTAGGGCTATGCCTAGATAACTTTGAGCTCCCAATATCTTATCCCAGTCTACAACTGCTATTTACCAATAAGACAAAGCAAGGATAGTCCATGTGATATTATGAAAAGAACATTGGAGGAAGCCTTCAGAACTCTGGTTAATGTAGCAACCAACGAGACTTCAGATGACAGATGTTGAAGCTTCCCTCCAACTTTGGTAGAGAGGTGGTGAATATGTATGGAATCAGACATACACATTCAGACATCACCAATGGGTAGCTTTGTTTTGCCTCACAATGCTAGTTTATTACATGGGGAGGTTCTATGAGTGTAAAAGGGAAGAGGCATTGAGAATTGAAAGTGATGTAAAAAAAAAAGAAGAAAGACTAGAACACCACCAAAACATTTAAAAGAAGAAAAAAAAAAGAAAGAGTACTAGATTTCGTCCAACATGATCTGGGCTTGAATCCTGGCTATCCAACTTACTACCTATTTGACCTTGCACAACTTATTGAGCCTCTCTGAGCCTCAGTTTCTCCATTTGTCAGATAAAAAGTTTAGACTATATAATGTCTAAAGTCCTTTCCAGTTCTAAATCTAGTGATCCTATAACCTACTCCCTCCCAGGGGCCTTGGCCTGCTTACCTGTTGTACTCTTCACATGATTATTTTGTTTGCACCATACAGCAACAGAGAGCAAATCCCTATCTTTGTATTATGGATCAAATACCTTACATCTGATTCAGTTCTTATTAAGTGTCTTCCTATGAGCCAGATACTGAGGATAGAAAGATAAAAAAAAAAAAAATTACTTGCCTCAATATTCTGTTAGATGTGGGGAAAGTGGGGTGGAGAAGAAGTGATTAGATTAGCAAAGGGAAAGCAGAATCCTATGGATGTGTTTGAGAATGTGTGTTGATAGAATGTAAGAAGCCAGAAGAAACACTAAGGGACCAAGAACTGAGGAAGAACACAGAAGACCAGAAAGGTCTCAGGCAGGAACCCACTATGAAGTGAAAACAATCAAGTTTCCATACAATTCAGTCTTAACCTTATTTAGTCTATGCTAACCTATGGATATCCCGTTCTGCAGATCTACCTGCTAAGACTGGATAAAGTCCAGTATGACAATGAGTAATTTGTTTGGAAATAATTGCCCTAACCTCCTAATTAAAAGGTGGGAAGGGTTTTTCCTGTCAGAAAAGGCCTAGGGTTATTATGTTCCTCAGACTGGTTGGACAGCGTAGTGCTCTACACCCTGAAAGTAATCTGTGCTCTTGAAACTCTTAACATACTATAGTATAGCAGAAGGAAAGGGAAGCTGATCATGTTATCATTGTACTCAGTTTTTAATAAGGCTTTAATTTACCAGCAGAGACTCATAAAAACTGTGCAAGGAGTCTTAGAGATCATCTACTTCATACCTCTCGTATTACTGATGAGGAAACTGAGGCCAAGCACAGAGAAGTTACTTGCTCAGGGTCACATAATTAGTGAGTGGGGAAAGTTTAAAATTATATTCAGATTAAGGCATCGAAGTATGATACAACAAACTTAAGGAATCTCTATGGGGGAACTAAACCATGATAAAAGTTTTTGGGTTTTTTTAAATAGTACCAATGGAGGAAAAATTAAATAAATTAAGTTTACTTTGTCCAAAAAAAGGCTAAAGTGAAGCTCTGTCATTCACTGAGTCGTTTATTCAACAAGCCTATTAAGTATTTATTATGTGCTAATCTTGGAAAGAAGGATAAAATGACGTTAAAGAGTGTGTAGTTATAATGACCAAACTTGACCTGAGAAAAGACTTGAGGAAAATGCACTTCATTCACTTCATTGCAGAAGTGAGAAGACTATGAGCATGGAATATTGCATATAGATATAGATGATGTGCTGGTTGATTTGAGTTGAATTTTTTCTTTTCTTTTTTAATATTTGTAATAAAGAAAATCCCTATAAGTAGAAGGTAATATTCAGAAATAAATTATGCGAAAACAAAATTTAAAAGAATCTTTAAAAATATTTCAGGTGTCCAGCTATACCATTCAAATCGTCCACCTGTTTTCTCTCATTTATGCTACATAACCAATCCCCCTACCTCTGTTTCCAATCATGCATTTTCTGAATGAAAAAATTTATGCCACTTCTTCAGCATGCTATCATAAGTAATATTTTGGAGCATTCTTATATCAACTAAGCACCTTTCCATTGCCTTAAAATATTAAACTCTTCAGTGACTAACATGTTTCATGATTCAGTCAGGTAGCATCATCAGGAGAAAATATTTTTAAAATAGACTTTTAGGACAGGGAACAATTTGACATTATTGACAACACTGAAAATTTTCTTAAATACAATCCAGCCCTCTCCCTGGACCCAGATCATTGTCTATCTGCAATACCTGCCCAAGACATAGATATCAATGAACTGACTCCATGAATTTCCCACCCAAATATGCATCATAATCATGTAATGGGCAGTCTTTGTCCATTTTGTTTTTCCTGTATGAATTGATAGTTTATTGTCTTTAAAACGGCTATGGTTGTCATTGAAGAAGTCCCACAGTGTTCTAGATTTTGATGCATCCAAAGTGCCTTTATGAGCAGGAGTAAATAAAGGACTGGAGTCATAACTGCACATGGGGTTAAAGGGGAGAGATGAGAATGAACAGCAGCCCCTGTGCAGAGTACAGCACAGTATACAGTGACCCTTGAAAGGTTAGGTGACAAAGTAGGACCTGGATGAGAGGTGGACAGAAATGTAACCCTGATGTCTGTGGCTGTAGTCAACTGCATCATATATCCCTGGAAGAGCTCAAGACACAGGGACACCAGTCACTGGAGTGAGAAAGACCCTTTCTGAGGAAGAAGCACATCCACACATGCCCTAAGAGTTCAGTATACTGGGGCAATGCCATGTTTCCTGTACTAGTTATGGCTCTGCAGAGGACCTCAGCAACTACAGGGAATTCCTCTTCCATTCCCCTTCAGGGTACTATGTCTTCCATAACGATAGCAAACACCTTTGGTGAGGATGGCTCCTTGATTTGTATCTCAGTTAATACTGACAATCACAAAGGTGTCGAACTGTTATCTCTGTGGTTACATTTATCAAAAACATTCATATATCTGAACATGTTATGAAAGGCACCTTGTTGGCATAGATTCTTCAAGGTTAGGTTGTATTCAGTGGCTTCAATATTTCAATATACCTGTGAACTCCTCAGTGTGGGTATTTCCCTCCAATAGTGCAAATCACAAAGACTAACTAAACAAAATATTTATTGAATCCTCTAAATGCTTAAAGGAGAAATAGAAAAAGAAATCATCAGAGATTTAGAGATTTGAGAAGAGATTTAGGGTCTTTGGAGACTTAAAAGGGACTCCAGAATTCAGCTACTCCAACCTTCCCCTGAGTGAAGAGTCCCTTATAGAGCATCCTTAACAGATGACCATCTGGTTTCTTCCAGTAAAGGTACTTCAGCCCTTGCCAAGGCTGATGTTAGGAATCTGCCACTGATGTTAGAAATCATTCCTAAATTGAGTTGAAATATAGCTCTTTGAAACTTTCACCAATTTGTTCTTTGGGAATAACACCAAAGGTATTTGTCCCTGCTTTGGCATGACAATGATCAAGTTATTTGAAAGCAGCTACCATGTTTCCCCTTAGTCTAAGGCAGCTACCTGCACTGGAAGTCAGAGAGAAAGAAGACCTAGGTTTGATTCCTGCTCCAGACACTTTCTAGTTAATTGACCCTTGGCAAGTCACTTAACCTTTCTCAGCCTCAGTCTTCTCATCTGTAAAATGGGGATAATAATAGCACCTATCTCACTGGGTTATTGTGAGGATCAAATTAGAAAAATATGTAAAGTTTTTGCAAATCTCAAAGGGCTATTTGAATGGTAGTTCTCATTATCATCTTCTTTTTTCTACACTTAACAAGCTCAGTTCCTTTAACTATTCTAAGTCTCCACACGATATGATTTACAAACATCTCCCTCCTCTAGACACATTACAGTTTGTCAATACATCTCCTGCAAATGTGACAACCCAGATGAGATTCCATATTCCAGATATCATTTGAGCAATGCAGTATATAATGGAATAGCTACTTCTTATGACACAGATATACTTCTATCAATACAGCCTATGACTTTGTTAGCTTTCAACCATTTCTGAATGCACCTAATGGAATTATTACCTAGACCCCATTTTACTCTCTACTACATGTTTTATGGAAGACTATGTAAAGCACTTTGTAGATACATGATGCCCACAGCATTCCCCTGGTAAATCATCAGGTTTTACAAAAAAATTACAAGAAAATTCTTTAACTCCTCTACAAGTTTCATTCGAAAAGGGATTAAGGGAATGGGTAAAAATATTCTTAGGATTCCAATTAATCTCCTGAAACTATAGGCCTACAAAAGCATAACAGAAATAGCTGGGAGCAGGTTGTATATCATTTGTATAACAAAACCAACCAAATTGTTGGGAAGTACAAAAAAAGAATAAATGTACCAAGTCAATGTCCCTCCTCTAGCCAAGTAAAGCTATGGATACTAACTTTGGATATTCACTCCAAGTCAAGATTGAAGACCAGAGAACACCTAAATATATGCAGGACAGATACCTTGTGAGATATGGAATGGGTATAATGAGATTTAAATAAGGTAATGAACATAAAGCACTTTACAAACCTTAAAGAGCTATATAAATGCCAGTTATTATTGTCATCATTATTATCCTACAGTCACCAGGCCCCCAGTGTGGCAATGACTTTATTCTGAGCCTTCTACTGTTCTCCTGCCAAGCTTAAATAATGTTTTTATAGCCATACTGGAGTGTTCTAGAAAATGTTTAATAAAAAGGAAATAAAAAGAATGTATACATACTTCATGTTTAATCTGCATTAACACTTGCTTAACTCTAGAAAATCAATGAAACAACAATTCAAGCCCTGATTTGTAGTGATTTCTGATTTCTGATGTGTAAATATTCACACTGAAAATTTAACAAGGGTCTATCAAGATAATTAGATCTGGGTTCAACAAACCCCTGGATGTAGAGCTAAAAACCATCCATCTTATATACTCCACCTTCCAATATTCTGAAGCTGTCAAAGTCATATTGAAATCAACATCAAGGGCAGCCTTAAAGGGGAAAAGACATTACAAAGGAGTAATGGCTTATGCAGTGTGTACAAAAAGGAGAGGC